CGTCCGCCGGGCCTCCCGCCGCGCGGGCAGCGCCTCCACAGCGGTGAGCCGGGCGCGGAGGTCTCGCACCTCGCTCTCCAGCACGAGCTCCCGCTCGGAGAGCACCGTACGCTTGGCCTGCTCCGCAGCCGCATACCGGATCTGCAGAGCGGCCTCGCGGAGCGCCCAGACGTGTGTCCCCTTCAAGTTGGCGCTGCATGGCGCCACCTTTTCAATGACCTGGATGCGGTCATTTATGACCGCACCCAGATCCGGCGTACGGTCGCGCCGCATCTCCTCTGCCACCGCGTCCGCCGGTGGCAGCCTTTAGCACGATTTGGAGACCGGGAGCGGCGGCACCGCCCGGTCCTCGATGTCCTCCTCGCGGAGGCCCCGCCCCTTAAGCGTAAGCTTAATGAGCTTACGCTTAGCCTCCGCGAGACCAAACCTCTCTCCGGCCGCAGGGGGCCGCCCCCTCTTCCGGCCGCTCGACGCGCCAGAGCCGACCACCCCCGAGCTGAACGACGAGGCGGAGACGGCCGACGCATCAGAGTCCCCATCCTCGTCGTCGCTGATGGCGACGACCCGGTCGATGCTCCTGGAGCTGGAGCACCTGACCAGGCCGTCAGGGAGGTGCCGGAGGCGCACCATCGGTGCACCTCCCGTCATCGGGCGGGCCGGCCCCGACGGGCCAGGCACCGCTTCTGAAGGGGTATTGCTACCCCTTCCTTCTCCAGTAGCCGTTAAGGCACCGCTGGCCTGGTGGTCCACCAAGCGGGCCCCGCAGTCGTCGGATAACGACGCAGGTGTGGCCTGCTTGACCACCACACCCGCGCCGGCTCCTGGGGCACCGAACTGCCTGGAGCAGTAACGTTATACTCCATACGTGTGCTATTCATATTTTTATATAAACTCCCTCCTCTCCTACCACTTACACCGTTAGCACCCTTGACAGCCGAAGCCGCCAAGGGTCCCAGGGGGCACCACGTGGAAGTAGTGTAAGTGGATTTGACCAGACCGGGCCCGCCGACTTCGCCGAAGTTCGCCGCAGCAGACGACACCGAGGTGTCGCCTGATTGTAGGTCGAACATCAGCTCCATCGTGGTTTTTGACGCAGGTCAGAGTGTTACGTAGGAGCCCGAAGACCCCTACGCACCCCTCGCTGCGAAAACCTGATCCAGCCTCGCCCCCTACTCTATACCACACCATAGTCCAACTCAACAACAGAACAGCTCACACCGAACACTCACCAGCTGATCGGCCATTATCAAAACCACCTGCGATCACGAGGTGATTTACGACCACCTCGCTGCGCATATCAACGCAGTGGTTAGTCTCCGCACGGTAAACACTCAAGTCTCACTTACACGTAGACTCTATTGCAATAGAACCACTCATAGTGTGGCCATTAAATTAATATGAAAGGTACTCTTCACTTGACTTGATCAACCAGATTCACATGGCCTAAATCACACGATTTACACAGTGTAATTCTACTCATTCTTATTGTGTTCACATTCTCCAGCTTGCTCATCCATTGATTCTATTCATATGAAGTATATTGCTCAGGCACTGATTTGATAAATATCAAGTAATGTTGATCACTCACTGTTATATTCACAATCCATAGTTTGCACATTCATTCTTCAATTCATAATTATTAAGCTGTTCACTCATTGGTTCATTGCATACGTTGAATCCTAGCTCTCTCATTGTTTCAACTAATATTGACGCAATAAAGTAATCATAAAGCCAACATGTGTACATTTACTTGCCACGCAGCTGTCACCAGACATCCGTTTCCATCCTGGCTCGTTCCATGCAAATGCAACACACGTACAGTTCACTAAATTCCTAAAATCATCAATTATAAACCGAGCATTACGCAACAACCATGTTCTCAATAATTACCAAAAATCTTTCTCTGCTTTAGCATGTATTCACTCAATGCTCGAGCATGTCACTGACGAGCCCCCACGCTTCGCCTCCGATCTCGCCGAGAAATTTTCGTATGTTTATATTCCACATCCACCTTATCGGTGGGCCTCCCTGCTCTCCCTTTCCAACATAAGATAGGCGACATAAGGTGGCCGGCTGATATTGCGACATTTGGCCTTTGAGATTGACGCGTCCTTCCGACGACTGTAACTTTTGTAACATTGTATTCTATTACACTCGCGATCACACTATACATATTACCAGAAAACTGCTGGTACATGATTACTTTGATTTCGGTACTATATCAGTTTCTGTATAACTTTGCTAACATAATACCGGTAATAAAATAATAGTGGTTTTAAATAACTTCTTACAAATAGGGAAATCGAAAAAACTGCCTATAAATATCGATAAATATCCCGGTATTTTCGTATTTTGGTTTCTATAAGGGTTACGAAGGTACAACTGAAAAATGCAGGTATAATACCGGTGTGTCACGTTTCGGTAGAAGTCCTTGCATCAAATAGACTACGACACATCATTAAGTCATCTGTCAGTTCGGCTTTGTCTGTCATTGTAAACACTCAAATTTAAAAATGAGTGCAGCGTACGCTAAACGGTTTCATGCAGTGTTTCTTTGCACATATTATAAACGACCAAAACTGATCTTCTCGGAGGTGACGGCTCGTTACATGAACAGTCAAACGAGTTCGTAAGGACGTGAGTGAAACGGTATAGGGCTGCAAAGAACGTTGATAATTTTGAAAAGAGAGGGGAAACACGTATAACAAGTGATAGACAAGACAAACCATATAACAATCTTGTAAAAATGTTTAATTTTCTAAAAGTACAATGTCTATTGATGTCTACTAGAGAATGGTTTGGTGAAGATAATTCATCTTGAGTGTGACAAGAAGTCAATGATCTAACTAACCGAAGTCGGTTGTGCACTTCATGAATAATGGAAAATGTATCCAAGCACTAAAGTGGCCTTCACAATCACTAAACGCTAATGCGATTGAAAATGGCTAGAGCATCATCAAGCTTAAGCTTCGGGGCTATACTTACTGTAAAGCAGCTATACCGCCAAATTAAACAAACATGGAGGGCATTCCCCGAATGGTACGCGGAAAACTTGAGCAAAAGCATAGAGGCTATACTTGAAAATGAAGGGGCATACGCATTATATTGGGCAATTGCGTTGAAGTGTTTTAGATGTAAGGGATGGCGGGGCGTGATAGGGAAGCTAAGTAAAATGCAAATAAGGTGATAATTGTACCTCTCAATTAAGTCTTTATGAGTAATAATACAATTATGAGTTAGTAGTTTAGTATTTGGCACATGCTTGATACAATATATAGTCAGACTCTTAAGTTATTAAGCTTTAAAAAGACAGAGAAAAATCGGACTTTCACAGGTATAAATAAAAGACACCTGCTCCCCCACTCATTGTTGTCAGCGATTCAATTGTTATAACATATTAGCTTCCTATTGGTGTATTCGTCACGTGTCTAGCATTTTTCAGTTAGCGTTTACGGTACCCCATCTTATCGTGCTACCCCATAATGCCTTGTCTTCCTCTATTATAAGCCTGTTTTTGAATTTTTTTCATAACGCTCTTTTGAAACAGATTGTATGTTGGAGGCATTCTTTACAGTTTATAATAAATACGAGAAATTCTCTCACACAATTTTGATGTTTTAGGATTATGAATTTTGTGTATACCACAATGAACACCATGGATCTTTGTTGCAAGTTATTAGTGGAAAACTTCAGTTCAAACCATTGATTTTAGAAGACCTCTATGGAGAAAGGGCCACGACGTACGGAACAATGCAACTTAGTGGGTGAGTATAACTTAATCAAGGTATGAACAAGGCAGCTTTAAATCTTTTAGAGCGTTTAACTATACACATCTTCTATTTGTATATTTAGAAGGGTATAATGAAAAAAAATGAATTTGTGTGACTACTTTCTAATAGCGAAGAAAACTTATATTCAGTCTTTCAGATTAACTGAGCGCTGCACTGGTGGCACTCTGCCGTCGCCTCGGCTCCAACCCTCTGCAGGTACCCCCCGAAGCATCCGTGCCCGGTGAGCACCTGCGTGAGCCGGTAGGATAGCCTGCCGTGCCGACGGTCCAGCCATCCATCAAGGACGGGCAGGACCGCGCCCACGGCTCGCTGCCGGGCGGCGCCGCTGTCATACAGCTGGCGCCGTCACTTTTCGCGAGCGAGCCGCCGGCCCTGGCGCTTCATCACCACGACCGCGTCGTCCGGAGGGTCGAACCCGTTCCGGCGGAGGGCCTGCAGACACCGATACAGATCGGCGTCAGCCTCCGCCTGGAAATCAAAAGCCAGGACAGCCGCCGCCTCGTGGGAGATGGTGCGGTACCCCCTGGCAATCCTGATGGCCATGCGGCGCTGAATGCGCCGCAGTAGCTGCCGGCCCCGCCGGCGGGCCATCAGGTCGCGGGCCCAGACGGGTGACCCGTATAGGGCCATCGCTCGCACCACCCCCATGTAGAGGCGGCGGACCCTCTCCTCCGGCCCCCCGAGATTGGGCATCAGACGACCCAACAGGGTCGCCACGCCCTCAATCCGGGGGACCAAACGGTCAAAGTGTTCTTCGAAGCGCCAGCGGCTGTCCAGGTCGAGGCCGAGGTACTTCATACGTCCCTCGACCCGGACACAGG